TTCTCCTAACTCATCACACCAAGAATATTTAAAATAGACTAAGCACAAAAACGTAACATCTTCACCTCAAGATTTGACTCACAAGTACCACGCATTATTCACAACTCACCCACTTACTCTAACATAGAGGTCACTGACATTACCTCTCCTTCATGAATCAAGTGCCCTCACACAACAAAAGAGAGTAGTTCCACACAATAAAATTTAGGAGCACCTAGGAACTCAAGATAGAAAGAATTCACTCACTCTCAGAAATAACTTTCATATGCCACAAAAGATGCACCATAGGCTTGCCCGTAGTGTATTACTCTACTAATCGAGCTTATTCAGTCTAGGATAAAGTAGGACTTTTTTGGTTGTAATGTAGGCTGCGGGACGGGTAGGATATATTTAGATATAAGAGTGACTACACCTCCCTAAGCACTTTAATACATATACTTTAACATTCAAACCCCATACTTATGTCAAACCAAACTCCACCTTCACATCAATGTATATTACCCCATACTTCTTTAAGCACAATTACATCAAGAGTCACCACTTATTAAGGAATACTTTTTTTTTCACAGCAATACAACTATTTTTTTTTTTCAATTCAAGTGGCTCTTACTTGTTCAAAACAGTGCACATTTCTCCTGATTTTATTAGTTCCACTCAAAAGCCAAACCAACCACCCCACACTTTAACTTTTACATAGTTCATAACAATTCAAGTGCTCATGAGAAGTTAAAAGGTTCAAATAGATGTTTAATTCAAACAAATGGGTAAGGCTTGTAATGTGTTTGCCAAAGAAACAAGATTACAAGCTCAAAGGGGTTAGCTACGATACATAACAATTAGGTGGGTAAAATATACATATCTGGCTCAACAAAGAAACGCCTATATCACTTTCAAGACTGAATAAAACTACTATTTCGCTTTGCAAATACACGGGGCAAGTTCTAGACATCAAATGCAATGCACAGAATAACACCCAAACCTCACACACACATGACACATAACTCACTCAGGATTGGTTTCATCAAGACACTCTAGTCAAAGCAGTTAAGCAAAGTTAAGATCATAAAATTTAAGGTACTTATACAAGAGTCAAAAACTGAGCCTAAGTGTCACAACCAAAGTACTCACTATTCTCAAGGCATAACAAAGTCAAGAGATATTGCTTCATTTCAAAACACAACACAATGACTCCTATTCCTAAAAAAACTAACTACACCCGGTTCAAATAAAACCCTTGAAAAACAACCGCGGCACAAAGAAAAACCAAGGGGGAATTATTACACTACCTACAAAGAAAATCTTTTTATTTTATTTTTTCTTTAGACTTAAATCCCTCAAGAAAATTGTCTAATAGATCAATCGTCAGGAAAAGTCCAATCTTTTCTATTTTAAAAAAATAAATTATTCAATTAAACTAACACAACTAAAATAGCACAGAAAGTCACCCAGATAATCTCCTCACCCCCACACTTAAAATTGTGCATTGTCCCCAATGCACACCATAACTAATAAAAGGGTAAAAGAGACTCCCTGGCAGGCCAAAGGCCGAAGCACTAACAACTCATGGAGTACTCAGACTTCTCCCAAGCTTGGTCCTTCGTGCGGGTACCTCACACTTAGTTCCAACCATTTGGTTTGTTGTTGCATCCTTCCAATACCTTTGCTTTCTATGCACCTAGAAAATAAAAAATTGGCACTACAAAAATAATACAATTAAAAAATAAATAATTAAATAAAAGAAAGCAATAAAGCTGGGTTGCCTCCCAACAAGCGCTTGATTTAACGTCGCGGCACGATGCGAATCACTTTTTGCCTCCACCTCGAGCTTATGAATTGAACCCCCAATTTGGCATAAAGTTTTCGGCTATGCTCCAGGGGTGGAGGAACAAATCTAATTGGCCCAAGCAACCATTGTACTATTCTACACTTCTTGGCTTTTAGATGAGGCATGTAGTCCTGTCTTTCTGGCAAGAAAAGTTCCAGAATGTAGGCACCTTGTTCCTCATTCCTTGACTTCTCAATCGGCTCGGATGACTCTATTTCCATATCGTCATCCAAGCACAATGTAGAAAAATGTTTGGAGTGAGGACCAATGCGCACACACACATGAACTTCAGGACTTTCAGCATCCTCAATATCAATGATACTAGAGTCAACAAAATTTGTATCCTCAATGTCCTTGGTTGACTCTAGTCTCACTTCTTCAACATTGACATCCTCAAATTGTAGTTGGCTAGGTTGTTGATGTTCTACTCTGACCTCCCCAATTAACACCTCAAATTCATGCTCTTCTTGGCTACTATCATCAACATTGGCTTGTTGAGCATTAACAGCTCCAACCACTTGAATCAATTGAGCCTCCAAGTTGCGAATAGTTGCCTCTTGCCTCTCTATCTGCAGTTGTTTCTCATTATTTTGTTCCAGAAGGCACTTTAACATATCCTTGATCTCCTTCAGGTCCGCATTCCCAAGCTTTTTGTTCCTATTAACTTCACAAGAAAAGGTAGAACCATCATAGTAAGGGGTTGGGGGGAAATAAGAAATATAAGCACAACCATGAAGGTGACCATTTTTACCACCACACACATCATACACATTCCACAAATAAGATTGAGTTGGTGCACATAATTCGCTCTTAGGAACGTTTTGAAAATTTGCCACGGGTGGTTTCCTTCACAATATGTATGGAGATCAATAGTAGAATTATCTACACCTAAATTCCCATAATTTCAAGGTGTCATGTTTCTCAAATCAACAGTTAAAAAAAACACAAAAAAAAAAAACAAAATAAAAATTTAAACTTGAACCCTAGCAATATATACAGCTACAACTACACCGTTAGTTCCCCGGCAACGGCGCCAAAATTTGATCACGCCCAACTCTAGTCCTAAAAAGGATAAGCGGTCGCTGCAAATATAATCCGATCTAAAAGTCCAGAGTCGAATCCCACAGAGAACTAAGGCTTAGCTATATCTGTTTAATATCACTAAGAAGACAAGTTTGAACAATTTTTTAAATTATAAAGATTGAGATTTATATTTCTAACTAATTAACTAGCCAATACTACAAAGCGATAAAACTATCAACTAACGAGACAAAGGGTTGGAGACTAAATTAAGGAGGTCTAGAGTTATGATTTACCCAATTGTCGGAATCCTTACAACTATGTTCCCTACAATTTCGCCGATGTATTCTCTACTGATCGTGAGCACTTTAGGTGTCATAATTCTCTCTCGAGCAACTACAACAATTTACTTGACATATTCTCTTGGACTACGCTAGTTGGCTTCCACTATGACCACGTCAAGGCTTTGTTATTTCTAAACCTACCTTTAAACCCAATGTATTGATTTCTCACATACGTTAGGAGTCACGTTGTTCAACAACTACCTAAATATGTACTCTCTCTCGAGCAGTACACACTAAATAGGCACAGTCAATTGATGGCCATTCAATCAACAGCAACAAATACGTAGTTGAACAAATAGAGAAATCCAACGGCTCAATTATATAAAAACATAACAAGTATTTATCCTACAAAAGGTTCCATCAAAACCCTAGAAAACGAATTAGCTATTCATAATAGTATGCAAAAACACAATACTAGAATTCATAACCAATAATAGAAATAGGAAGAAGGAAGTGAAAAACTCGTAGAAGAATTCTCCACCTTACTCCCAGTGTGTTCTTGACTCCTTAGGTCGAATCCCCGGTCTCCTTAGCCTCCTTAGGTCTAAATTATGTCAAAAGTGTGTCCAACCTCTCAAAATACCATTTTTCCATGTATATATACCAAGTAGGGTCAGGCCCAAACAATTATCCTTCTCCTACGCGAAAAAGGACAAGTTTCTAGGCCTGGACGTCCGCGGCCGCGGCCCGGGCGCGGTACTTTCCCAGTGTACTACCTCAGTCCACGGTCGCGGTTTCAACCGCATTTTTTCACCCTGTTCCGTTTGGAATTTGGAAAAACGTAAAACATGAAAGTTGTAGCCCTTTGAGTTAGTTTTCCAACCATATATTTTGGAACCCAAATGGAGTTCTAAGTGAAAAGTTATGTGCATTTTACTAGACAGTGCGCAATATGCCTACTCGATTCTTCGTTTTGTTGCTCTATCATCCGTTAATCTCCGAATACGATTCCGGCTTAATTCCTTGGGCTTTTACTCAGACTTCAAAGCTCCAAATCACTTGAATTCATTCCATAACATCTACATAGCTCGGAATCACCCCTACAAGGCATAAAACACACAATTAGTGCAAGACGTTAGCGATTAAAGCTCAAACTCAATTAAAGTGCAGTAAATTTGAGTGTAATAAGCCTCTAAAATACGTAATTATAGCCTATCATCATCAGACGACTAAAAAAGTAACTATCATGTGTTATTAACAAAATTCTTCCATAAAATTATTTTAATAGATCATATTTTTGTCAATTTTTTTAATATTTACTAAATATATATTTACTTATAAAAATTTAACAAAGTAAGATTTAAATAATATTCATGTAACAAAAAAACCTGAAAACCCCGACAAAACCAAAGTAATTCAAACTAATATAGTTGGTTTGACTTGGTTTTAATAAAAACCGAACCAGTCCGATCAATGTATACCCCTACGAGTTGATTATCCTTACAAGCTTAATCTCACTAAGCATATGTTGAGTAATATATAGTACTACTATAAAATTTTGTTCAAGCGCCAATTGTTGCTCTTTCAATCCTAGGGACAAAATTTAGTTCTAGTAGGTAGTTGTGCCTTTAATCTTATAGTAAACACTATTTGGTGGTCTATGATTTGGTGATTACAATAAGGGTAATGGGTACTATTTTTCCTTGATAAATGCTGAAAATGTTGGTGATAATGGTGTTAAGTGGAGTATTTTTGAAATTCTCCTTGATGACCTCATTCACATACTTGTCTTCGTAATTTAATTCTAGCTTGCATCATGTTACAAATTGGAGCAAATTAAACAAACCGCTACATGTTTATAGATTTAAGAATATTGTAAAATTTGGTTAGCGTTAGCACAAATAACATTGTTTACATTATACACACTGATACTATAAGACAAATTACTTTTTCACTCTATCAATGCAAGAAATATTAAACTATAAGTGCGTATAATTTAAATAGTGTTTCTTAACCTTCTGGACTAAAGTTAACCAAATTTTATGGTTTTGTAAACATGTAGCGATGTGTTATACTTGGTTTAAATAAAACATTTCTGTTTAACCCAAAAAAATAGTGAAAACTTCAGACCTCGGGTCCAATAACATTTCTAATGTGATACCACCTACCATTCACGTTTCCTACGCTCTCTCCCAGTTATCTATCACTCTCTCCCCACGGTGTTTTCGCCATTACTTCTTCACATTCCACTTATAGTGAAAGTTAGGCGGTATTGCATTAGAAATGTTATTGGACCCGAGGTCTGAAGTTTTCACTATTTTTTTTGGCTTTCCACAGACTTCCGCACATGCTCCATTTTGCTCCCACGCAATTCATCTGCTAATTGCCTCTGTAGGTTCTCATCAGGTGAGGGGCTTCCCCCGACCTTAAACAAGCACCATGAGCAACAGAATGAAATAAACATCTTCCATCTCCAGATATACCTGCATGAAATGAAGCAGTCTTTTCAATTAAAATAACGTCGATAGTAACTATTAGTACTAGTTAGTAGAGGCAGATCTAGCCCTTTGTAGGGAGTTCAACCAAACACAATTTTCTTAACTCGAACCATGCATACAAATGTAAAAAAATTTGGAAAGGACATACACAGCACCACCTCCGACCTCAATGACTCTAAATCTTGGGTCCACATCTAACTTTTTTTTTTAAAATAAGTATGGATCCACATCTTCATTAAGTTTGTATTTCAAAGCAAGGGCCATAAAGTTACTGTAATATGCTTTCACATAATCAGTAGGTGGAAGAGTAGTTTATCATATCAACCAAACCTGGAAAGTGGAAAGAAACAGAACATAAAAGCCCAGAATGCACCACTCACCAATTACAGAGTAGTCAATACCTTTCCATGTGAACAGCCAGCGGTTGAGGAAGCACAGTTATTTCCCTATTTTCTTCTGATGCTTCAGCTCAGTATGGACTAGTTGAGAGGCTAAATAGCAGACTGCCAAACCAATAAATAAACCAGCAGATGTAAAACGTCGCACCAGAAATATGCCCTACTCTGCTTCAGTTTCTCCGGAACTTTTGACTGATTGGGCAAGAAAAAACACATATACATCACAGCCCAGAAATATGCCCTACTCTGCATCAGTTTTTTCCGGAACTTTTGACTGATTGGGCAAGAACAACCTCACATTCACATTTTGGAACTGAATAGAAATATCAAGGCACGGCTTCCAAGTATATCTGGGATTCGCTGCAGTTCTAAGTATTAACAAGTGACAGCTGTTCTTCAGCTTGGAGATACTAAACCCAAAATATCTTCTTTGAGATCCCTCAATTTGAACTGAAGATGAGAAACAATTTGACTTGGATGCAGAAATAGTAGAATAAAGGAATTCGGAGGCTTGGTTCAGATACAAAACCGCAACGAGTTGGCTGGTGCTTGCAAAAATAATCACAGAAATGCCTTGTCATTTGTCTCTGCGCATGTCTGCTCAGGAAACACAGGTTTTTCATATAAGTACCGATGGAAGAATTGACCATTATGCTAGCACAGTAACAGGAAGGTAAAAGACGGAAAATCCAAACTCACAATGGTTTACATAGATTCAACCAGCATAACACGGGTGCTAATTGCCCCTAGTACAGCTGCATATTCCTCAGGCAATTGAAACCACATTTATTTACCTATACATGGTTATCTGAAATTTACTCTCGTTCCACTAGATGAATAAGACCACATGCACTAAGAAAAATGAAGTCTGCAATCAAATTAGATGTCCTGACAGAGAAAAGCATACGACTGCTCAGAAATTTTCAACATGGAATTTAGTTGGGCGCTTATGGCAGACCTTCCAAATAGTTTATTCAAGAATGAAAGCTCTTTCAATGCAAATTTCTCTTCTTATATATGTAAGAGACAAATATTTCAGTTAGAAGCTGTCAGTCTTCTGACAAAGATATGTGTAGCTTTCTCAATCCTCACTTACAGCTTAGATAGGAGAAACACCCCACACATAAGAAGAGAAGACTTATCAGCTAAAGGAGCAAAGAGCATGACAATATGCCACATGAATTTGGGAAGGCATTACCCAGTGTGGTTCATAGAATTCTTCTTATTACTCCTCTAAAAACTGACAGAAGTGAATGAATAATGCACAATATGTCAGATGGTACCTCATTTATATCTCATGTGATAGTTCATTCTAAATGAGTAATTTGTCACTTCGGCCAAATATTAACACTCATTCTGAAGTAATAGAACTGTCAGAAAAAAGTTTTTTCTTTGCCTTGATAAAATATCAATCTCAAGGCTCTGGAAATTTTGTCAGAAAATAAATGGGAAAACAGGAAGTTCGGATCCTGTAGCAACATTCTAACTATACACATAATGGATCTTTGAAGCCAAATGCATAAATTCTTTTCGAATAACAACCACCACAAAGGCTGTGAAAATACTCGATTATCAAAACAAGATAGAAAAGTAACGCTGTCATTTGAGAAAAGGGACAACATTTATTCTAGAAAAAAAAAATAAGAACGAGAACTATTTGTAAACCAGCAGTTGAATAGAGGCAACACCAATTTTAGCATTTCCATCAGTAAAGAGGGAAGAATGGGCATTCAAGCAGTGTAGCTTTCCAGATATTCATGATTCCTACGAATAACTGCATCAAATAACTACTATGAAGGCCATTTAAAATACTCGATTAATTAAACAGTATCATCTATCTATTTTACTATAAAAGCAAGGGTAAATTACGCTAAACACCCCTATAATATCACTTAATTTTAGATACACCCCTGTATTTCTAAATCAAACACTTAATGCCCCTATATTATGGAAATCCTAGACATTTCTTATTTCCTTCATATAAAAATTAATATATGGAAGTTGCCCTTATCCCTATTCCCATCCTTACTCACTTGTCCCTTACTGGCCATTCCGTTGGACACTCTCTAAACTTGATACACTTCCGTATTCCGCTCTCTTCTTTTTCTTCTTTGCAATAAAAGTTTATTTACAAAGAGAAATATATAGATGTAATTATCGTCGATTGAATTGGTCACGAACCATTCACCAAAGGAGTTTGCCGAAGTTATGCCTCCATTAGTCCGAACAGTGGTTATATATAAATCAACTAAAATGTGAATCTCTTATTGGACAAAAGCTTTACAAGAGAAATCAAGACACTTTGGAGGATAAGGCCACACTTGGTAAGGCTGCTGGGATACGGTAACAATAGAGGAGAAGGCTCAAACTTATTGAGTTGTGAGGACAAGATGGATAATGGAAATTGTTCTAGAAGGATTGAATGAAAATCGGGATAAGGGCAACTTTGTCCATGTATTAATTTTTATATAAAGGAAATAAGAATGTGTAGGATTTTCATAATATAGGGGTATTGCGTGTTTCTTTTAGAAATACAAGCGGTGTATATAAAACTGAGCAATATTGTAGGAGTGCTTAGTGTAATTACCCGAAAAATAAATAGGCCAAAAGTAGCATCATCTATGTTACTACTTGCTCTATTGTGGAATTAAAACCATTAACCCAGATTTAAATTTAGAAACCAGGAAAGAAGAAAAAGTGATAGAATATCGGTGAGACTCACCGATCAGAGGCAATGGAACAACATAATATCCAAGCGGGTGCAGCAACAAAGAATCTAGCAAGAACAGCCAAGAAGAGAGAGCAGTTATATCGCCAGAGTCAGAAGCGTATATAAAAGATAATAATACAAGAAAAAAAATAGAAAGAACATACAAAGTAGTAGCGGAGAGATGATGCTAAAACCCAGAACAGCTGGAAGGCGATGAACCGAAGAGGCTGTAGAAGATTTTAGAGCCACAGAGAGCAAAATAGAGAAGCGGTACATGGCAATGCAGTTTCCCGTTATAAGACACGTAAAGTTACATAACTAAGTACTATGAGATGTCTAAATTACCCAGAATTTTATTGACAATAAGCAGACATGTTCATCACACATGCTTGACTTAACTCTTCTGTAAAATAGAAATGCTTGCATCGCTTGAGCTTTTAACTGTTGTATATCAGCAATGAGAGGGAACAAGAAAAGGAGAACTAAATAAGAGTGTCAACTGGCTTCATCAAAATCCCAAATTCCAGCAGCATTACAATCAGCTAACCACGACCTTCAAAGCAAGATGATAGGAGGAAATTGAAATATGAACTACCACGTTCATCCGTTCGTAGGAATTCCATATCCATGCTTGCACATCATACCCAAGACCTGATGAAGCTTATCCTTTTCCCCCCACGTTGTGTAGGCTTTAAGTAATATCCAAAACGTTTTCTTTGAACAGTCCAAGTTCACATTATCCATCTCGCCAAGAACTTGCTCCATTTCAATGAGTCGCCTTTGTGAAGCATACATAACCATCTTACAGTGGTAAAGGGACCTACATATTTTCCAACCAGCACATTCTGCACGACTAACAAAATTAGCAAGCTCGTCTACTGCATTGTTTCGGAAATAACTTGAAATGATGCAACGCATGACACCAACTGTTGTGACAGACGTGTTACGTTTAAATGCCTCATTTATTGAATTTTCCATCTCGTCTAATAAATCCTCCTTTGCATACAGACAGATTAATATGACATTCAACCAAGGCCTATAATCATCTTTAGGAATCAACCTCATCAACTCTTCAATCTTTTGAACTTTATTTACGTCAGAACTTTTACTGTAAGCACATATCATAGATCGAATTAATGGGATCCCGTACTGATCAACATGACCTTTGACAAGCTCATAAATCTCTTCCATCTTATCCAACTTACCAGAATGTGCATATCCTCGAAGCATCAATAAATGGGTAGCAAGATCAGGTATGAGACCTCCTGCCTTCATGATTCTATATGTATTCTCCACATCATCCCACATCCACGCTGTGATATACCCAGCAATTAAATTGTTGTATGTACTAACATTTGGGCAGATATTCAAATCATTTATTTCCCGTAAGGTTGCCTCCATGTGATCTATCAGCATTAATCTACCAAACACCGAGATAAGTATGTTGTATGTTACAATAGTTGGAGTACATGTTGCTTCCCTCTTCAAGTCCCGAAAAACTGATTGACACTTTACAGCCAAACCATTGAACATATAAGCAGTCATAAGGGCGTTATATAAAGAGGTGGACTTGAGTTGCTTGTTGGAAGCCTCTTTGAATAGTTCAGCTGCAAGATCAACATTCTTTAACCTTCCAGCCACAACAATAGCCTTGGAATACTCCTCAGCTGTCATGGGAGTCCAGTAATCCAATTGTCTTCTCCTCCAGTCAAAAGCCTGAGAAAACAGACAAAGTACGTTACTTCCTCAACCAAAAAAAAAATAGCAGTGATCACAGACTTAACATCTGGTCTTAGGTAGAAGACATTGAGAAGAAGTACATAATACAGTGAAGGCATACAAGACTTTTCTTAAACTGTGAGTACTAGAATGACACGAAATTACTATTGATTAACCAAAAAGAGAATCGTCTAATATTGTCAAAAGAAGAGAAACGCCTCATTTTTGTCTCATCCACAAACTCAACTCCATTATTATTTCCCACACCTAGTTTACATAATGTAATCATAAAAGTTAAATTCACACAAGCAGTCTACGAGGTCCCAATTCAATTGTCCTTTGCAGTGTCAACAAGTCCTCTTTGACCAAGATTCCATATTTATATTTGTTTTATCCTTTTTTATTTCAAAGATTGGTGGTTAGCAGAATTTTTATGTAGTCTATAACTGGAAAAATAATGAATCTGTCAGACAAAAAATAAGTCAACCATCGCAAAACAAAATCGGTTCAGTTACAATGAGGATATGGTATGTTGCTACGTACAGATAATAAGTATATTACGTACAGAAATTAAATCACCTGGAGCGCTAATTGGGGCGAAGATTTTAGCTGTTTTAAGAGCTCAACAACCGCAGAACCATCTGCATACCTCCTAAACAACAAAACCCCTCTATCTGCTAATATTCTCTCAATCTTTTCAGCATCACCACTGCAAGCTAGCAACTCATCCCTTAAATGTGAAACCCTTTCTCTCAGATCCTGTTTGACCAATGAATCAGCGTGACTCCACCTGTCTGCGAACAAAGCAAATACCTGTGACCAGGCAGGTTGGGAAGAAGCTGCTCCGCCCGCTAGTCCTCGAACCCACAACGTATTGGCTGAAGCTCGTGCAATTGTGTAACACCATGAATGTTTTCTATAATTTTCAGAAAATCTTTGGAGAATTGCTTCCGTGTGGGAAGCATCCGAGATTCTCCATACCCTCTTCATCATTGACAGCTAGGTAAAGTGGTACCCTAATTTACATATAATTACAATAGTGTCAGCCAACTTGAGGTTTTCAAAAGGTTAAATCAGCTCATTCAGCAGCTTAGTTAACAACCTCCGTAACATCAAAATCAAAATCCAACTTCTAAAATTTCAAAAGCAATTTTCTATCCAGACGAAACCATTTCAAAACTCGCAAGAAAAACTATTCTCTATCCAAGCAAAACTATTTGAAAGCCCAAAATCTGGAAGATATATGACACCAAAGAATCATACTCCCTCCGGTCACAATAAATGACCAATTTACTTTGGGCACACCATTAAGGAAATACTAAATTCTAGACAAAAATAGTTAGTGTGACTAAACAACCCTTCATTAAATGTTGCAACATAGTTATAGTAGCACTTACTTCTATTCTCAAATGTTAGGAGTAAATGACTTTTTAGGAATACGTACATAAGGATAATTTTGGAAAAACAAATTGAATTTTTTCTTGATTATATAATTGGGCACTTATTTTGGACCAAAATAAAAAAGCAAATTGGTCACTTATTGTAGACCGGATTGAGTATGATATATAGAATATTGAATGCTTCGTATTTTATGGTCCATAAAGCATACATCGTGTACAATCAAGATTCGCCATACCCATTTATCAATGCAACATTTTTCAAGGGTTTATAGAGTGCAACTGCTTTGATTAGGAAAAAACCTCCAAAATAACTAACTGAATAAAACATTTCAAGATTTTTTCTGTAGTTATTTTATAGCCAGACAAAAAAACAAACTAAACCACACAAACAAACCAAAAAAAGCAGATACTGACTTTTTTTTACAAGCTACAGATAAAAGAGAATCTGAGGGAAGGAGGAAGAAAGAGGGTTAAAGGTACAACTGGATTTCGTAGGAGTACTTATCAGTCAGTTTGGTTAGGTTTTGGAAAATATGATTCGGTATTTTCGTTTCGGTTTCGGTTTCTACAAAACTCTAAACTGAAACCAAACCAGATTAAATTCGGTACAATTAAGTTTTTCTCTTTCGGTTTTGATTTGTGCGAATTGGTAACTTAGCTATGTAGGGCTTGGGGTTTACTTGAGCCTTTCCAAATTTGGGCATCTCCAAACCAAATGCCTACTGCTTGCATAGATACTAATTACTACAATATGTGAATGTTAAAAATTCTCAAACAACTTATCTTTAGAAAAAAAAAGGAATGTTCTTTTTATAGGTAATGAACAGCATTAGGAAATGCTGAAGATGTGTAAATCTAGGTATACCTGCTCCGGCGATTGGTGAACGGCTGGCGGAGTGGCGGAGTAGCTGGCACTCGATATCGGAGGCTGGACTGGCGGAGCAGCGGCGGTGAATGTCGAGAAAAAAGAGAAGGTCGAAGCTTTTCTTTTTCTATTTTCAGATTTTCTGCTTCAAAGAAGGTGAAGTTACAAATCTTAAAGGCCATTTTAGGAGAAAATGACAAAACCGGTCCCTTATGTTTTCGGTTGGTGTAAAATGGCCTTATATGAGTAGTATATTTTAGCAGTTGTAGTCCTTATGTTTATCAAAACTTAGCACTCTTACACTCTGTTTGGATCACTGTTCCTTATCGTTTTATAATGTATTATATTGTATTGTGTCGTATTGTATTGTATCGTTTTATAAATACAATATTTGGATAGATTGTATTGTTTGTTATTGTTAAATAATATTTTGCTGTTTGGTTTGACTGTATCGTACTGTACTGTAACTGATAAGTTTACTAAAAATACCCTCAATTGTTTAAATATTAAATTTATCAAAAATTATGCATAAAAATAATTTTAAAAAATAAAACAGAAGAAGGCAAAACACCTTAAGAAAGTAGAACAAAGGAGTAAGACAGAAGAAGGCAAAACAAAGGAACACAACTAATTAGAATTGAGTTAAAAGCAAATTAGGAGAAAAAAATCAAACAGAAGGCGGCAGAAGTTTTGAAAACAAATAAAGTAGGTTATATGTTGGAGATTTGGAGTTAAAATAGAAAAAAAGTTAAAGGGTAAAATAGAATTATGGAGTATAAGTTAGGCATAATTGGAAAGGAAAATAGGAAACAATCCCACCACACCAAATCGGTTGTTTCAAAAAATGGGACTTTCCATTGTTCCGGAACAATGGATTTAACAATACAATACAACCAATTTTAATGAAACAATCAAAACAAACATTGTTTTAAGATAACAATACAATACGATACAATGGGGAACAACCATCCAAACAAGCTGTTAGGGTGTGTTTGGTATAACTGAAAATGTTTTCTGTGGAAAATATTTTTCACTTGAAAAATAAGTTGTAATCTTACTCATTTTTCGGTGTTTGGTACGCAAATTAAGGAAAATAACTTCTTAGGAGTATTCATAAATAATTTATATACAATAAACATGAAGCCATAAATTTTTGAACCAACAACCTTCCGAACCCACAAATTTCATAAACTTCTGAACCGCTAAACTTTCGAACCCATAAACTCTATCATTTCTAAACATGTAAACTTTCAAACACATAAACTTCCGAACTTATAACTTTGGAACTCGTAAAATTTCGAACCTGTAAACTGGAAAAAAAAATTGCGGGGGTGGGGGTGGGAGGGGGGGTGAGGGAGTTTGGGATGAGTGGATGGTGTAGAAAAATAAAAATAAAAATTAAAAATCGAAAATACACAAAAAAAAATGAAAAAAAATGCGGTTGGGGGTTGGGGGTGCGTGGGTTGGGGGTTGGGTGGGTGGTTCAGAAAAACGAAAAACAAAAAATTAAAAATACAAAAAAATAATAATAATAATAAATTTGGGGGTGGGGGTGGGGGGGTGTGGGTGGCGCAAAAAAATGAAAAAAATAAAAAATTGAAGTTGGAGGGGGTTAGGGTTAGATGTGAGGGTAGGTGGAATTTTTATAAAATAATTTCCTAACTTTTTCTAGGGAAATCATTTTCTTCCAATTTTAAGAAAATGTGATTTCTAGGAAAATATTTTCCAAACTATTTTGTGCAACCAAACAGTGAAAAATGGAAAAATATTTTTCGGAAAATATTTTTCGTCATACCAAACACACCCTTAATCTTGCGTATATTTATAACATGACGGTAGTCATCTTTGACAATTGTGAAATGGAGACATTGGTAGTCCATCTTCGATTGAGGGTTTTCTCTCTCTACATCTGAGAGCTTTTTCCCCTTTGTGGGGTTTCATTCCTAGACCAAACTTACCAAAATTTCAAGAAATCCCTTCAATTTCACCTCTCAATCACAGTCTCAAGCATATTTCAACAAATAAACCTATCAAAATCGCTACTTGCATCCTCTCTGTTCCCCAATTTTGGCAAACTTTCGTTCTATATACCAAACCTTAAATCATAAGTATCAAGAATTTTACAGTGCGAAGATGGCGGAAGAAATTACAGAACGCCTTCATAAATTTATTCTAACGGAGGAAGAAAAGGAGGTTGTGGCAATAGAGTTTTCAGATATTCAGGCAAGCATGAAAGAATGTGAAGTAAGTCTTCTTGGTAAGGTAATCTCTGACAAAAGGTGAATTTTCATGGAATTAGGAACGCTATGACTCTGGCTTTGGGAAACCCTATAGGATTACAAATTAAAGAAATCAAATGGAATTTTTTCCATTTCATTTTCAAAGATAAGGAAAGTTTGGATAAAGTTAAACTTGGTACTCCATGGTTATATGATAGATACCTCCTCAATATCCATCCTTAGGAACCAGGATTGGAGAGTGACTCTCCAATTTTTAACTAGAGTAATATGTGGGTTCAAGTCTGGAACACTCCTTCACACTGGATGTCAAAGGATGCTGGTCGAAAAATAGGACATGCATTAGGAGGTATTATTGATATTTTCATTCATGAAAATGGAAGTAAAGAGGTTCAGTATATGAGGCTTAAAGTCATGATGTATATTAATAAGCCACTACTTCGAGGGAAATAGATCAAGTTAGGCTTTGAAACTATTTGGATTGAATTAAGATATAAAAATCTACCATATGTTTGTTACTATTGTGGTGTGCTAGGACATAATGATAAAACCTGTATACAAAGGGAACAAAATTTACGATCAGGAAATCTTAGAAGTGACTAGTTCGGGACATGGCTACGAGCAGAGAACAATGCATCTTTCTCGGAAAGTCAGAAGCCTCAAGATTTTAATAATGATAGAGCGGGGCATACAATGATGAGAAATCGTAACTATAAAGTGGTTGAGGAGAAAAGAGCTAAAGGAACCAGGGAAAATTTGCAAAATTTGGAAGACGACGGGGACTCGATGGATACGTAGGATGGTATAGAGAAAGAGAATGTCCAGGTAGAGCAAAATAGATCACAGGGGAAGGAAGTTATGGATTTGCAAGCAAATGATGATGATAGTTTGACTGACAATGAGGAATTGAACCAACTGCATTCTCAGGAGGAAAAAACAATCAAAATCTATAACAAAAGTATGCCACTTGCTGATTCATAAAATAAAGATGTTGGCCAACTCCACACGAACACTTTGCAAGAAACTAAACTTCTAGTATGTTCATATTCGCAATCACTTTTGAAAGGACAAGGAGATATTGCAAGGAACCTTCATGATGTTGTAATTATACCAGGTAAACGGTTAGGTGATGATGTTTGTATACATGATTTTGGGAAAGAAGACAAAGATCTGGATGGTATTCAGAAGACGATGTTGCAGCACCAAGGCATGCTACTGGTGATGAACATAATGGAGTAAATGGGAGTGATGTTGTTTCTGGGAATAGAGCATTCAATTTTGAAGGGCCTAATATGCTAATTGATATTCTGATTATGGAAGAGTTCAGTTTAATGGGGATAAAATGGAAAGATAAGGAGATATTTACACCAATAACTATTGCAAAACGTCAAAAGAAAGAGGTGGTACAGGAGGCCAGCCTGGAATGGTCTCCCTTGATGAAATGAAGTTGCTGGCGTGGAATTGTCGAGGGTTGGGGGATCCTTGACAGTTCCCCGTTTGAAGGAGAAAATGTATCTCCACTCCCCGGAATGTATTCTTCTATGTGAGACGAAGAACCAACACTCACGACTTCAGTGGCTGCGACAAAAAGTTGGGATGCAAAATTTATACATTGTGGACCCTGTCGGACTCTCTGGTGGACTCGCCTTACTCTGGAATGAAGACACTCAGATAAGTAACATTTACTCTTCATCCTATTTCATTGAGTTCTCCATTTATGATAATGAAAAGAAGATTAGTTTTTATTGTATTTTTGTATATGCTAGCACAGATAGAGAAACTAGAAAGAAACAATGGGCTAAATTTATTACTAGATCAATATCTTGTGAAAACCATTAGATGTTGCTAGGGGATTTTAATGATATTATTGATAATTCTAAAAAATCTGGGGAACTACGCGGGCTCTTTGAATTTTTAAGGATTTTAACAACTTTATTAATATGCTAGGAGAGACAGACCTTGGTTATAGAGGGAAACATTGGACTTGGTCTTGTTACAGAATTAATGAGGGACGTATTCAAGAATGCCTGTCACGCCCCGAACCTAGGCCTGGACGTAACACGACACTCGGTGCCTGACTACATGTGACCGAGTGAACCAACTGGCTGGCTGAATCAACATGTGATATCATAACATACTGAATGCGGAAGATAAACTAATACATGCCGATATTCTAAAAGTTTGGATGATATAAATCAAAGTGCGAAAATACTAATATAATTCTGAAACATATTTGCAGCCAACATAGCTTAACATGAAAAGCCTAAGACTCTGTCTAACTGTTACTCTAGTCTATAAAACCTCTAATGAAGTACTGAAAACACTGACTGCCTGAAAATACTGAAAGACTGTAAAGTAATGATAATGCCCCGAAAGAACTGGGGATCACCAAACAGCTGGTACGAGAATCCTAGCGCTTTGAATCATCAACCTGTAAATTATTACCTGCATTGTGAGATGCAGGCCCCCGGCAAAAGGGACGTCAGTACATTTGAATTGTACTGGTATGTAAAGCAACTGAAAGAAAGGTTTATAAATACTGAAACTGAAACTAAGCTGATAACTGAAATGATAACTATTGAAACTGAAACTGAAGTGAGAATTGGTAACTGAACTGATAACCGAAAAGATAACTCATAACTGATAACTGAACTGATGACTGAAAAGATAACTGATAACTGATAACTGAACTGAATAAAGGAAGTAAGGTTATGAATACTCCCTCTTCTGAATGATGAACAACATATTTATCTGAATATTAAACTGCGGCCTCAGGCCCAATATATATATGTGCACAACTGCGGCCTCGGGCCCAAGTATATGCATACATAACTGTGACCTCAGGTCCAAAATGCATAAAGCATAAACTGCGGCCTCAGGCCCAAAGATGCATAAAGTATA